TATATTGTCTTGCACTCCCCTTCCCATGAATTGTAAGCCGCCCTGAGTCCCTTCAGGGAAAAGGGCGGCCTATAAATAATAAATAATAAACAATAATTAGATAAGGTCCTAAAATAATGCTGGGTGTTCCTTAAGTAATCTGAATGAATTTCAGATAAAGAATACCTTACAGATTAATATCAAATGATTATCCTTCCCAAGTTGACACTAATAACCAATGTGTATGTGCTAAAGAATCATCTATCTTACCTGAGTTGTAAGCATTTTCCATGTTCAATATAAATCTTGAATGTGAAACCTGAAATTTTGAAGTTTTATAGTAAATGCAAAATAAATGTTGGATACTCTAAATTTAATGTTTTTAATATCCCAATCCACTGTTTTACGGTGGAGCTACAGACCTGTGTGCAAATTTTAATTATAAGCCATGCTACATTAAATGATAGAATGACTATACAGTAATATGTATTTTTACTGAAAGTTTGCTAAGAAAAAGGAATGTAGTACAGCTTTTCAGATTGCCAGGCAAAACATGTACTTTTCTCATTATCAATTGTGATTTCTGTGCTTAAATATTTATTATCAATATAATTGATATTTAGTTAGCTAAAGAGTATATCCTTGGATTTAATTTAATATCTTATGATCCCGTTTATATTTTTGCATTTTCTATGAAATACTATGTTGGTGCAGGCTTGTTCTTCTATGAACTCATTTTTCTTCTTCCTTGACTTGTTATTTCATTATTACTTTGCTTACACATTAAAAATCAAATGTAAAGAAAAAATTTGCTGAATTTACAGTCTTCTGTGATATATCCAAATCCGGATCCATTGGAAACATCAACTGGAATGCTTGACTTCTATGGACAAAGGCCATGGAGGCAAGGAATATTAAGTAAATATATTTTTAATTTCTTAATTAAAAAACAAATAACTTAATAAACATTTATGCTAGAAAATGTGAAGATAAATTTGTAGGTCTTATAAACTGATCAGAGATGGTAACAGAATTCTGTGCTTCCTTGTTCAGCTCAGCACTTGTTGGTGTTCTTTTGAATGAATTAAACATTTAAACTGAACAGCGGGGAAAGAGAATTAATTGATACAGAACATTTCTGTCCCCAGCAATCTAAAACTCATAGG